ATTTAATGGAATGAAAACAAAGGGAAAAGGCAATCGAGTCTATTCAGTATTCAACCTATTTTTCTCAAAACTTTGACAGGTGATAAGAAAAAGATATTTACATTGCATCTCCCTTTTCATTATAGACCATGTGGTGATCTTATTATTTCCATTCCACTGTTGAATACGCTGAGAAAAAAAATAAACGAAAACATACGCTTCAAGTTCTCCCACCACAAAGAAGCATTATTCCTAAGCTTGAAAGTTGTCAATTTAACTCTTTTATTAAGGGTTACGTCTTTGTACTCAAAAATTCATTCCATTGTTTGGAGACACTGAATAAACTCGCTCAGATTCATGCGACCATCAAAATCTGATAATTCACCTTTCCTCCAAGATCTTAGCTTCTCCTCTGATATTCCATGTCAAACCGTCGATGTATTGGTCTTCATCACTAGAAACTTCCACGCATAAGTGATTCACTTCCTCCTCTCAATCTGACGACTCACTATTATGGCTATGGATGACCTCATTGGGTTGTCTTCTCTCAAAGGCGGTAAGTTTTTATTGTGGTTGGAAGATTTCCCTCTGCATATCTTCCATAATAAGTTCTAGATACTACGTTAAAGATTTCTACCTGGCAACATGACATCTCAAAGCAAGTTTTAAAGAAAAAATGTGGTTTAGGCTTAGGGCTAGAGTTAAAAGGCAGATGATGTAGGAAAAAATATTTTACTGTGCAAGAAAGACATCCTTAACAATTTAGGATATGTTGATCGCTGATATCATATAACACGTCCAAGGGAGCCTAGAAGGTGTTTAGGAAGGCGATTTAGCAAAAGTTGGTTGTGGAATGACAAAATAATGATATTATGCAAGTTCGGCAATGTTTGGAAGAGATAAGCATTGTTCAAGTATTATTCCGCATGAAAACGACAAAGATAGTTGTAAAACAACAATGCACAAACGGCAAGGAGATTCATTACATATTCTAGCACAAACTATAGACAAATCACTTGCAAAAGGATGAGCATACAGTACTCCTTAATATAGAAAATAGAGATTACAATCTCCAACAAACACATAATCAAGCAAAATTCTGTATATCATCGTTTCAGAAATTCCTACTAGGAAGGTTAAGTTTAACTAAGAAAAGTTATTCTTTGATTCTCCAAGTGATAGAAGTGAAAAGCAGTGGAAAACATGGCAACCCTTTTAATGAAAGCATTCATAATTCTGAGACCCTTCTTTAAGGCCACCCAACCATAAACAGAGTACTAAGAGGAATAGAGACTAACCCTCTTTTCCCACTTTATATCTAAGATATGAAAGTAGAATGAGCTCATGAATCTTTGAATTTAGACCTTGGTTTCTTATCCCAGAGCGAAGAATCAGTCCGCTTGCAGAAAGAAAAGCACAAACTGCTCTTAGAGTTGTTTATTTTAAGAGCAATCCAAGCATAAAAACTGTTCAGACAATGCTTATGGCACTTGATATTTAACTCATTGATCTTGCCAAGGATAAGAAGATCATCAACAATAATAAGGAGCGAGATATAAAGGTCCGCATCAAACACTCCAATAAACAGCTGTGAGCCTGTTGACTGCCATGTAAAGTGTAGAAAAAATCCATGATGAAAGACTAGAGAATAGGAGATAGAGGGCATCGCTTATGAAAGCAAATAAACGAGGATAAGAAGCCATCGAGACTAACAGTACTAATGAAAAACTAGCAGACATAAAAAATGCAAGCTTTAATCCATGCTTCAAAAGAAGAGCGGAGGTGGGGGTGGGCGTAGGGAGATGACTTTAACAAAGAGTCTTTGAATGCAAAAGTCTCAACTAATAATATCGAATGTTTTTTTTTTTCCGTCTAGCTTGGCTTGCCAATCTTTTTATTAAAATATTTCATGTTTTTCCCAACAAGTATGAAGCTACTAGAAATTTGTTTTTATTTAATAAAGGCAATTTGAGAGAGGTAAATGGTACCGGGAAATATCATTTTTTAAGTTTAATTGATAATATCTTGGCAATGTATTTGTAAGTGCCACAGAAGTATACAAAACTAAATTAGACATCTTTATAACATGAAGGTGTAAATGAGTCAAGCGAATCAAGAGCCAACTCGAGCTTGGCTTGATAACAAGCTCATGAATTGAACTTACCGAGTTGTGACCTCGAGCTTGAGCAGGCTTGCTACTCATTGTGGCTTGAGCACAATTTCAAGTTTTAAAAGACTCAATTTGTTGGCTCATTAAGTCGCTCGAATTGAAACGATGTATGGTCCAAATCCGAGAATAGTAGATCAACAGCTCCCAATTAAAAATTGAAAACCTAAAATCTTATTTTGCTCATCTCAACCCTGTGACTCTACCTTGTTAGTGTTGAGATCAATACTCTAGCCCCAACTTCAAGTTCCTCAATCACAAACCAAGGGGGTCTTCCCCTAAATATTTCGCCTGCAAGCCACAATGGCCAATCAATACTACAAAGTTAACTCGACAATTTACGATAATAGGTTTAGCCTTCAGACTCGTCTTCTTTTTTCTTAAAAATCTCAATATTTTGACTTTAGCAAGCAACATCTAGCTAACAAATGCTGACATCTATCATTTTTTTATGTTTGATTCGACTTGTATAAAATTTGGAAAACCCTGCTCAAGAGTTTGACTTAGTTGTGACTCGAGCTCAAGCTCCACTTGTTTACACCACTACTATAGCACAAGAGGGTCTAGAAATTGGAGTATAAATAGTAGCTTCAATCCTCTTAGGTGACTACTTAGTGAGAAAGAAATATTTCATCGCTGTTGTGAATTGAGGCTCAGTAATATCCCAAACAACTTAAATATCAAAACAAGAAGCATTATGGGGTAGCATGCAACAAATATTTTCTCCATATAATTTTGGTTGTTAACATGAGAGGATCAATATGTTACCCAAAATATGGTAATTGTTCAAACCCGTCCCTCCCTACCTCTCTATCTCTCTCTCTCTAAAGAAAATAAATAAAGGTATAATGCAATAATAGAAGTACCCTCAACGCAGAAGTCTCTTAAAGCATGATGCAGGTAGAACCAAACCTTTCCTAGTCCAACAATCAATGCCTTTTATTCTACTGTCAAAGACTAATTCTCAAATAAATGAACGCACAACCTTACCAATGAAGAGAGATATAAGTACAAAAAAACTCACCAGATGTGCAAAGTAAAATAGCTATAAGATTTATCAATTAGCAACCTTTTTAACTTAGCAAACCAAAATAAAGCCAATAAGGTGTAGACTAAAAAAATCTAATTAGAAACTTGTATGAAAAAGATTGTACAAACCATAGCACACCATATATGAAGCCAGATAACATAGTTCATCAAAACAAAATCACATGAAAAAATTCCCAATCTCATGTTTTTCCCTTAAATTTCACCCTAAAAATAAACTAACTTCAATGTACATCACATACCGTCATTAAAAACTGAAAGCAATGAGGGGATGTTTCATGTCCAGATAAAGAATCCACAGAACCTGCATGTTCTTGTTCCTCCTCATCCGAAGCACCAAAACAGCTGCATAAACCACCCATAAATCTTGCTCCTTCCCCTTCAACAACCGACCCCTTCAGCAATTATCTTCTAATGTACCAGCTTAAAACTGATAAAACCCAGAACACCCATTATAAGAGCCAAGCATTTATCCGTTTATGATAGAGAAAATTTCCAAAATCATATCTTTTTGTTGCCACACATGAAAATCAAGAAACCAATTATAAAACAACAGAATCCACACAATTCTGCATTTAAGGAGACACCCAAAGAAAAATTAGAGAAAAAGGGAAAACTAAACTGGAAGAAAAGTACACAAGTAGTTCTTCAGATCTATTCTTCGAACGCACTGTTAGACATTGCGAATCCAACTAAAATAAAGGGAAAAAGAAACTATGATTGCGCGTCAAGAAGAAGCTGAAGTACAGCCTATCTATAAAGCAAGCACCGCAGCTTTTCCCTTCTTTGTTCGGATCGAAGGTAAGCCTAACAATTCAATGAGATTTCAGCAATTTATGAGCTGATTATGCTTTTTCCCCCATTGAATAAAGCCTTCCAAACATCTGATTTCATTTTCTTTTGTCATAAATCGCAAGCAATCACAGAGGGGTTAGGATCGCGTGGATTCGAAGGGGGAAGGGAGAGATTACCTAACAATAGCCATGGGGGTTTGGAATCCCGATCGATGACCTAAGTAAGGTGAGAATTTAGTGTGGAATCCGTTCGGATTGGGGACGATAATTTCTAGAACAAGAGCACGGATTAATGGGTGAATGAGAAACATCTTCTTTTGGAAATTTTCTTATGGTAAGTTGCACCTCTCCATCTCTATATATTTACTTAAGGTGTAACCGGGCCGGACAAGGGCAAGTTTGGGCTCAGCCTAGGTTCGGCTCATTAAAAAATATCACTGTTCTTATTCGGTTCGTTTATATTTCGAACACAAAAATTTGTTTTTGTTCAACTCGTTTGTTTGGCGAGGCGAACACGAGCTGTTCACGAACAAAAAAATATTTTGGCAACTCTAGTCATACATGCAGTTGTTAGGGGTGTAAGCGAGCCGAGCTCGAGTGAGTTCATATTCGGCTTGTTAAAAAATATCATTGTTCGTGTTCGACTTGTTTATGTATAGAGCTTAAAAATTTTATTTGTGTTTGACTCGTTTGCTTATCAAGCCGAACACGAGTTATTTTAACAACTCTAATCACACAGCCGTGGAATGTTAAGGGTAGGGTTAGACTTAAATCTTGTTATTTATATTAAAATATTTATTTAAATAAAATTTAATATATTTTAATTCTATTTTTTAATTAGTAATTTTAATTGATTATAAATATTTATAGCATTGTAGTAAATTAAACTATTTAAAAATAGTACTCACTAACAACGAACTTTTTTGACAGCCCTATTTATCTATGACCTAACCTTCAATATTTATAGACATTGGGGTATGAATGTTGGAATTACAGATTTGTCCTTTAATTATTAGCTTCTGAAGGGATTTTTTTCGTACATTACAGATATCAAAAATATTAAATCACAAATGGGAACACCCGACTGATATAGGATCTGAACGTCGGTAGCTCTTGACGATCGGTCTTCCTTGATTTATCTCATTGTCTTTCAGTCAGCCATTACATCGTTGTTTGGTCGGCTTGTTGTGACTCGATCGACATATCTTCAGATGACTCAATCCTTAGGCTACGCTTTAGGGAACCTTTGCCCCGAGACTGTCTGCCGATCGATTGATTCTCCATTCACGCTCGATCACTCAATTCTTCATTCATCATTCTTTTTCCTTACAGTTGAATTGTCTTGAGATTCACACTCACATTCTTTTCGTATGCATTATGTATTTAAATAACTAATACCAAAATTTTATTTTTTACAAATATGTCACCTTGCATATATATGATAAGTTGCATACGTTAAAGTAGTGATATTTTTAATGTAATACGGAAATTTTGAGTATAAAAGTGTCAAAAATAAAATTCATAGGTTAGAAATGTAAAATAATATATTTCAGCGAATTTAATTCTCAAAAATAATCTTTAATTAAAAATTAGAAAAAAAAACAAATAAATGGCCATCAAATAAATGCATGTTGGCAATCTGAAGAATAAAATATTTTAAAAATAACCAAAAATAAACTATTAATTGAAAAACAAATGGTTTGATATTTGTAAAATTAGGAAAATTCCAGAGAAAATCAAGGGCATATTTGTAAAATGTGTAAAGCTCCATTTTTTTAAATATTATGGATCCACTCACAATTTAATAATCATTTTTAAGAAATAGCAACTAAGTTAATTGACATTAGAGGAACCTTCTCCTCGAGTCTGTCAACCGATCAATTGATTCTCAGTTCTTCATTCGTCATTCTTTTACTTTACAGTTGAATTGTCTTGAGATTCGCACTCACATTATTTTCGTATAGATTGTCTATTCAAATAACTAATACCAAAATTTTAATTTTTATAAATATGTCACCTTGCATATATATGATAAGTTGTATACGTTAAAGTAGTGATATTTTTAATGTAATACGGAACTTTTGAGTATAAAAGTGTCAAAAATGAAATTCATAGGTTAGAAATGTAAAATTAAAAAAAAAGAAAATTACTTTTTTTTTACAATAATATATTTCAGCGAATTTAATTCTCAAAAGTAATCTTTAATTAAAAATTAGAAAAAAAAACAAATAAATGGCCATCAAATAAATGCATGATGGCAATCTGAAGAATAAAATATTTTAAAAATAACCAAAAATAAACTATTAATTGAAAAACAAATGGTTTGATATTTTTAAAATTAGGAAAATCCCAGAGAACATCAAGGGCATATTTGTAAAATGTGTAAAGCCCCATTTTTTAAAATATTAAGGATCCACTCACAATTTAATAATATTTTTTTAAGAAATAGCAACTAAGTTAATTGACATTAGCAATATATGTAAATATCATATGAATTTTCAAAAATATTATGTTATGTGGTGTTTGGTAGTGTACTTTTTAATAGGATTTAGTCATGAATTTAACTTAAATAGGGGCAAGCACAAAATATGTATATATATATATATATATATAATCAAATTTTTTCGTGTTCCGACTGTTTTTCGCATTTCGTCTCTTTAACAATGTAAATATATATTTAATAAATCTGATTGTCAGAAAAAATAGTAGAGAGAGAAGAAAAGTGTTAGAAGATTCTCAGGAGAGATGTTAGGAAAAAGTCCTCAGACCCAGGGTCTCTTTATTCATCATCGAGTCAGACCCACTTGTACAATTACAGAAAAGATAAGTGATTATGGAAATAGCCCTCAATTATCAAAATGAGAGAGCGATGTCGATTGATTGCTTGTGTTCGGCCTACTTCTAGGAAGCTTCGGCGGTTCGGACCGTAGATAGGCTTGCCGATCGGATTCATTGAGGATGGACTTGATCAGTCTGTTGATCTTTCATATGACTTGTTAGATCATGTCTCTGATTTAATGCATTGATCGTTGTGTCAACATATTTAGTTATTCAATTGGTTTGAGATTTGTGTCGACGATGTTGGTGTGTACATATCGTTTCCCCAAGTTTTCTTGCTCTTTGATTGTGACAGCTACAGTAAGGACAGAGATATTATTAAATAATCAGTGACATCAAAATCAATAATTAACTAAACAATTTACTTTCCTTGGGTTTCGTGCCTAGTGTATTATATAAAAAAAATCATAGACTTGACGCTGCATCCTTAGCAGCTAGTTTTTTCCATATAGCCGAGGTACATCATGGTTGATGGTGCGAGCCGGGTCGACATGGATCCTAAAATTCTGGCCAAAGTAGACTTCTGGACGCCGACCCCTATAAAGAAGAGCAAGAATGTGAAGAATGTAAAATGGACAAGGCGCGAACGTGATTTGGTTGATGTAGACAGCTTGTTTGATGATGCTGGGAAACGATCGTCGAAAAGCTACGCTAGGAAAATATGGCATCCGGGCTTGGTGTGAACACGAAAGGTACCTCGTCTCGGGAGAGAAAAAAGCTTTTGAGAGCCTTTGTGAAAATTTTTACGAGTATGTATGCAATGCACCTTTTTTTCATTTATATATAAGCTGACATATTTATGAAATTTGAAGGTTAAGTATTAGACATGTAATACATATATAAGAATTGAGTGACATGAATGTAAATATTAAAGTTTAGGTGTTAAATTGTGTATATGTATGTGTGTACATGTCTGCGTATGTACATGAATCAAATAATCATATAAATATTTATGATGTGGCATGTATAAATGTTAATTTAAATAATTATGCAAGGAATGACTTATGTACGATTGATGATTTAACTGTATTAATCTTTAAATCTACATATAGGTCGTTGATAGATATTTCATTTTTAAGATCTTGAATACACAATAGATTGTATCCAGATAATACAAACTCACTTATGGGTTCATAAATAGTGTAGAAGAATTTGTGCAAGTGAGATCATAACTACTCATTTATCTTTAAGAAAATAGTTTTGATGCCCTCATGCGAAGCACAAAAATCAAACATATCTAACCCCTAATGAAGTCAAGTTGGATTTATACTGTATGGAATTTCAGCCCAATTATTAATATTGTACTGCACATGGTGAGTATAAAATAGATGTTCAATACAATCATGTATGTGTTTCATTGTGTCCCTCAAACAGAATATAATTGTAGCACAAATGAAGAATTGATTTATGATGCTAACAAAGCTCGTTTCGTTAGGAGTGGTCATGAGAATGATCAAGACTGAATAGTGAAGTGCAAAAATTTTATGATTTACTAAATGATGCACACTAGCTTTTGTGGGAAGGATGCACCATACATTCAGAGTTATTAGTAGTGCTGGGAATGTTGATTATTAAATTTGATTACAATATGCATGAAAAAATGCTTTAATTAAGTTGAAACAATACCAAAGGGGACAAACCCTATGAAAAATTTAGTTCTAGAGGATCTTGAAAGAAGAAAAAGTTAGGACTGAAATTAGGGTTACTATCAGAGAAGATAGACTGATGTATTAATGATTTCATGTTATATTATAAGACTAATGCAATGAAGACGAAATGTATGTTTTATGATGCTAATAGAATCAAACCATGGGGCCGAAAAAAGAAATATTCAAAAAAATATTTCATATAAATGACTCTTCTACTTGTTTCTCATAGCTCGACTTCAAAAATTATTCGCTTATATGTATAAAACTCCATACATGACATGACACAATATTTGATCTATTGATAACAACTCTTTGATTCATCCATCGAATGGGGAATCCTGAAAACACTTTGATTGTGTTAGCATGACTTTACAGTTGAACAACATAATGTTAAACTTGGTTTATATGAGATGAGTTCACACCATACAATCAGGCAGAGTTCAGGGCCCGAGTTCATTGTCATCGGAGAATGATGAACTTTTCTAGCATATCGTTGCTTTGACTGAAAAGGTAAGCTAGTTATATGAAGGGCATCAAAGAGTTCAGGCCACTGTTACGCGATTTGATCATATTGTTGATTGTCGTGACAAGTGACCTTTGAGCTCAGTGGATGAGAAGAGAGAGGAGGATGATTTTGCTTACGATGCCCTGTAGGGATTTATGTATTTTTTCTTATTTGGCATTTGAACATAATCTTCTGTATATATTTTGTATTTAAATTTTATAAAATTATGTTGGATGGATATTTTACAAGATTTTATGTAATCTTTGTTACTTCTGTTCATTTTCATTGTCAATGCATGCTTGTGCAATATGTCATGTGTTGTGTTAGTGTTGAATAAATATGTTTGTTATTTGTTCTGTGTAGATGTAAAAGATCTTATTGCTCTTTTATGCATATATATTTTAAGATGCTACAGGTTTGCGTCTGTTCTGCATCGAAAACGTCCGACGCAAATAATCATCGAAAAAATTCATACGCTAGTTCACCTCACTAACATAAAAATTGAATGCACGGTTCGACACAAATTTGCCTCCACAAAACCAAATGAAATTTTTGCAGAAAACTTTTACGTCCACATGAATGACATCTCAGCTGACTAACACTGATATTTTCAAATACTAAAACGGTCGCAAATTATAGCATCGATCAAAATTGACACAACTTTTTGCAAATGATCTGTTTACATATCGTGTTCTTCGATATCACGTAGATGCCTACAAACAGAAAAGAAATAAAACTCACTTTTTTCTATAAATAAGTGGATCTTTATTCCAAAATATTTAGATTAAACTTTAATAATTGTTAGTTATTAAATTATCAATATTATTTCAAAGTAAGTGTAAAATAAAATAATCAATCAACTCACTCGTTTACTTTATCTCGAAAAATATTTAAGCATATTACATAATTCTTATATTTACATATTTCACATCAAAACTTTTATATTTACACACATAACACACAAATTTTTAATATCACATAAAAAGACATCACTATTATCACTTTTTTAAAAGTGAAACACATATTTTTATTTATAGGCCGAGCGGCCTGAGCTCGGCTTCTTAATAAGCTCACGAGTAGAGCTCGAGCTCAAGCTCAAGCCCGAGCTCGTCCAGTATGCTCGTTGGCTTGTGAACCGGTTTGATTAGCATACAACCAATCATTTCGATAAATTTTTCCAGTGAGATTCCTCTTCATGCTCCTCCTCTGGTCACCAATAACTCCTCCAACAAATTGCAGTAAAAATTGAAGCCGAGCTCAAGCTCGAACTCTAACTCACAATTTGTGAAATGAGCCGAGCTCGAGCTCGACTGAACGACTCACTTGCGCCCCTAACCAGGATGTTATGAATGTAAATATGAAGAAAGTTTTGGGGATGAAATGTATAAAAACATGTTAATAAAGTGCTGGATATGTAAATTTCCCATCTGCGCTTACTTTTCTTTATCAGAAAAGAAAGTCTTCACTCGTTTCCTGCCTAACAAGGTTGAATAAATTTGTATATCTCAGTTGAGAGAGAGGGAGAGAGAGGGAGAGAGAGGGAGAGGGAACATGTCATGTGTTGAGAGCTATGATGCCGTCGTTGTGGGCTCCGGCTACGGTGGGGCGGTGGCAGCTTGCCGGCTATCGATGGCCGGAATTAATGTCTGCCTCATAGAAAAGGGGAGGAGATGGGAGGCGAAGGATTTCCCCACACATGTTTTCAGCCTTATTGCAGCTGTGAGGATGCAATGGAGAAACTGGGGCTTTGGCTTCCTATCAGACAAAGCTTTGTTTCAGGTGATTACTTCCTTTTATGTTAGTAAGAGACAGAATATTACGTGTGGAATCTGTACATACGAATTTGTGGTATTCGGTGGTATCATGGTGGTATTGCATCAAAATATCACCGTAATTCCACCACATATCATTATGGGGTTGTTTGGGCAACATATGCGATTTAAGGGTCCATTTGAGGCAGCTTGTGCGTTTCAGGGCCCGCGGGCCGGCCGACCCGCGGCCTGCGTTTAGTATAAAAACCCAAACGCAGTTTCGGATAAGCTGGCGAAACACGCAAATCAAATGGTACGACAGCATTTTCAAAACGCCGCCCGCACTTATAAGCTGTCCCAAACGGGCCCTAAGTTGTTAGGATTTCGTAAATCCTGTAAATCCGGATTTTCTAAATCTTGAATGGGTTAAAGCCGAAAATCTGTGGCAACGGATTTACTAAATCCTGTAAATTCGATCGAACTGTTTCACAATTTCAGCGAGAATTTAGGAAGTAGTTATGGTTGTTAGAGATAATTGGAAGCCCGCAAACTTAAATCCCAAGCCTCACGAAGGTAAATCCACCCATTTGCAGGATTTCAAAATTTACAGCTGAAATCTGTGAAATTGAAATTTATGAAATTACGGGATTTATTTTGAGTAAAATGATCGTCTAACATCATAAATTCGACGTAAATTTGACATAAATCAATTGTCAGATAGCCCCTAAATTTGCATCTATCTTTATCTCTCTTGTGACGATATATTTTTGTATTAAAAGAAATAAAAACTTGATATTTACAAATCAGCCACGATCTTTCGTCCATTTTTCAAATTCTACCAAATATCAAAATTCAATAATTTGATCATGAGACGCATAAATATATTGGTTTAGGGTTAATTTATAAATAGCAATATTTGAGGTGGTTTGTATGTAATTATCTTTTAAAATAAATAAGTTGGAGGTAGTTGACAAAAAAAGATTAGTAATAATGAAATTAATTGAAGTAGTTTGTAGGCGAGGCTAGAAATAAATATGGCGAGGGCAGCTTTTGAATTTAATTAAGGAAGATTTACACACATACCACTCAATTCTTTTGTATTTACAGATCTAACACCTAAATTTTAATTTTTACATGCCTGCCCTCTTTCCTATGCATAAAAAGGTGTGTTTGATTTTTTTTAAATTAAAGTGATGGTATTTTCTTATGTGAAGTGAAAGATTTGGGCGGTATAAATCTAATTATTAAAATTTAAGTTTTAGATATGTTTGGCTCGTTTTAGCTCGAAATAGAAAAAAAAATTATACAATTATTTATATAATAATATATATATGATTATGTGAATAGGGCTGTCAAAAAAGCTTATTGTTCGCGAAAAAACTCATGTTCGGCTCGTTCGTTAAGTAAACGAGCTCATGTTCGGCACGTTCGTTAAGTAAACGAGCAGAACACGAACAAGTTTTAAAAGCTCGAATTATAAAAGAGTCAAACACGAGCGAATTATAAACGAGCTGAACACGAACAACTCTTTGTTCGCTCGTGTTCGGCTCATTTTAGCTCGAAATAGAAAAAAAATTATACAATTATTTATATAATAATATATTACACATATTATTTATATAATAATATATTATATATATTTATATCTATGTTTAAATCGTAACTATTCTTGTGGTAATGTGGTTATGTGTCTTGTTTTGCATATAGTTGATCCAGGTTCGAATCCAACATTCTACATCTATTTTTTCAGTTTAATTTTAACGAGCAAATTTCAAGCCGAACACGAGTCGAACACGAACACGATTATATAAATCGAGCTGAACACGAACACACTGTTCAAGAGCAAACACGAGTCGAACACGAACACGAATATATAAATTCGAGTCGAACACGAACACACTGTTCACGAGCCAGTTTCGAACACGAGCCGATTTCGAACACGAGCAATTTCGAACGAGCCGAACACAAACCAAGCCTGAGCTCCCTCAAGCTCGGCTCGTTTACAGCCCTATATGTGAATGCTTTATATATATATTATGTTTGACATCTTTAATTAGTAGTTATGTTTGACGGTCTAAAATGTAAATGTAGAGCTATATTTAATGCTTAATTTAATTTTTCTATTCATAAGAAAAAAAATAAAAATTAGGAAAACATGCATGGGAAAATGTTCATTCTAAATTTTAGTCTTTTTTGAATTTTTTTGAATTTTATTTAAATTGATTTTATTGTTTCATTAAATGTCTTATATAAGCTTATCTATATTTTAAAGGCATTTTTGGTTGAGATAAAACTTTAATGATAAAGGTTAAGAATCAAAATGGTATTCAATGGTTAACCAAAAGGCAATATATAAAGGAGAGGGGTGACAATGACATGCATTATAAGAAGAAAACATACTATAATGTGTTTATGTCTTCATTGAACAATTGGTATATCATGCTTTAAAGAGGGAATCAAAACTATTGATGCAAGCATAGAATCTAAATGTCATTGTTAGGGCATGTTTTGGCACCACTTAGGGATTGTCATAATTGGGATTGCACTAGATAAAATCTTATTGTTTATGAGCTTTCAATGTTAGGTAGAGTGAATATTTAACAGGCATCCTACGAAAAAAGTTGATGGAGCTGAAAAAGACAATGACTCATATATTAACAAACAGAAAGATGTGATAAGACAGGAAAGAGTAGACCCTAAGAAGGTAACATGAATAGTGATAATGCAATATTAATATTTATAAGCGTGACATTACCTCCATCCTTCATGTAGTAAAATTCAAGAGAATGCACTTGATAGAATACAACGATCAGTTGTTGGTACCTCTTGATAATTCATGAGCAAAAAATATAATCCCAATTATTCTTATTGGTAATGAATTCACAATGTTGTCAAATAATAAGATTGAAAAAATGAATTTTTTCATGAACAAACTTGAAATTTATGTGTTGATTAAATTATAAACACAAATGAGCTATCATTTATAGATAAATAGGAGCAATAATATGCAACATGGAGAATAGGTAGAAATCTTAGCATAGAAAAAAAAACTCAAAATGACTTTTTATCAATAAATTTTGTCATTGGAGAAGAATCATTATAAAGGGTTACAAATTGATGATAAACTTGACATGGTGTAAGGAAAAGAAGCATAAGCTAACTGATTATTATATATATTGACACGAATGACACATATGACTTTTAACATTAGCAGTACATGATTCCATCTTATTTACAATATTGAAGAATGGGTGGCATAAATTTGTGAAAAGGGGGTGGAAATAGTACATGTCATTAGAATCCCAAAAATCAACTGACCATAAATTTGTGAAAAGGTGGTGGAAATAGTACATGTCATTAGAATCCCAAAAATTATTGGTAAAGCAAAATAATAAAGCTGAAGATTTATATACTTAGCTATAATCATTATTCCCATTAGTAACCCTTAAGTATCACTCAAAGTGGCAAAAAAAAATGTAATATTGCACTCTATAGTGATTCTCCTAATAAAAATTTATTAAATGAGGGAAGATAAAAGCATAGATGCACCTAGAGTAATTAGGCCATTGCCTTTAAAATAAGTAGTATAATTATTTGTTAAGGTAACAAATTACGTCTATATTTTTTATTTAAATTATATAACTATTCTAAAATTCAAAACATTTGATCAAACATACATGTTTCAAGAACCTAAGGACTCTAAAATAAGAAAAGATTCATGTTATTGAAGGGCCTAATTAAAAAAAAAATATAGGGTGAGATATTTGTTGATCAATCTATCTCTATAAAAGGCATTGCGTATTCCTCAACTAAAATGTTAGTGGATTACTTGTCTAATGAGACAATAGATGGAATTATACTTTAATCATCTAATATTTGAGAAATATTACTTTTCATAGAATGAGACAATAGATGGAATAATCATCTAATATTTGAGAAATATTACTTTTCATAGGCAGCATCAAGTGCCTATCATAGATCCTTGTCAATTATAATTAATGGTCGCGCTAAGGATAACATTTTTTGCTTCTACAAGCACTGATATGATTTCTATAACTACCATATAGTATACCTGAAGGATTAGATTATGTGATTGGAGCTGATCGATCACTTGTATAGACACAATATGACTTTGTTTGAAACAATCAAGGTAGTGTTTACCATTTAAATAAAGCATAACATAACATTTGTCTGATATAGAAAAAATTCGACTTTTAAAACATTAGTCTTTAATTAACTAATAATTTGAGTGAATACATATATGCATGCATAAACAAACACAATTACATTGAGATTCTTAAAAAAAAAAGTCTTTTTTAATAAATAGCAAGAAACATTTTGCACTTCTTTTACATTTTGTTTATATCATGTGATATGCTGATAAGCATTTTCATTAAATCTAAAAATAATGTCTCACAACTAAGAAGTACTCTAAATACTCATGATAATTACAACAGTTTTCATTATCTTAGTGTTTCAATGTTAAATTCAATCAAAAAGCATTTTTCTACATTGCATTTTAAATGTCAAATTATTCTTTAATTTGCTTACATATATTACAGATACATGAGGAAGGTGATTCTTTAGCAGCAGTTGCATGTGGATTTGGTGGAGGCTCTCTAGTAAATGCTGGTGTGATTTTGTCTACGCCAGTTAGAACAAGAAGAGACCCAAAATGGCCAAAGGAATGGAATAAAGACTGGGAATACTACGAAGGTATAGCATCTTCAATGTTAGGAGCACAGGTAGCTCCTACTGAATTTCCTAATTCTCGAGTTATCAAGCAAATTCTTGAAGAAGAGATTGAAGATTATAAACCTGATCCTATAAAACTCAGCATAAAATTTAATGTGAAAGAAGAAGTAGAAGAACAAACTTTAGTTGGAACTAAGAAGCTTGAAAGTTGCTTAGCTTGTGGCAATTGCCTATCTGGTTGCCCATATAATGCCAAGAACTCTACAGATAAAAATTATCTGTCTTCAGCAATAGAGGCATGAGCTTGTTTACGTTCTTAATTCACCTTTACTAAATATATGTAACATTACTCAGTGTTTCATTTTACTCTTAGGCTGGATGTGCAGTGAAAACAGAAAGCAAAGTTCAATTTATTCTTAAAGAACCAACCGAAGTTCGTCTCCATAATAGCAAGAAGCGTCTAAGAAGGTGGAGAGTTTATTTTAATGAGTTAGAGTACATAGCTGCAGATTTTGTGGTTATTTCAGGTGAAAATTGAAGCTTTTTTTGGCATTAAAAAGAAACAAATGAAAAACAAAACTTCTATAGTGTTAAATATTTGATAATTTCTGTAGCTGGAGTGCTAGGTACAACTGAAATACTCTTCAAATCACAAAGAAGGGGGTTGGGTCTTTCAGATAGACTAGGCCTTGGACTAAGCTGCAATGGAAACAATGTGGGATATGTTGCAAGGAGCAAAGCCCCTTTACATGCTTATGGATTGAACAAGAAGCAACTCTTAGAGGTTCCATTTCATAGCAGGCCAGGGCCTGCGATCTCCACATCATTCACTTCTTCTAAAGGTTTCACAATTCAGGTAACAAATTTGATCTTCTTTGGTGATTTAGATAACATTATATTTCTTTTTGTGCTCCCCCATTTAGTGGTCTATTTTGCAGAGTGGAGTTCTTCCTACTTCATACCCTTGTTTGCTCTTCAAGGGAATAACAACCTATGGTTGGCCTACATGTTATTGGTTCTTACATGGGTTAATTGATAAAATAAAGTGTAGTATAATTGGATTAAAACCTAGCCAAGATATGATTCTTAATGTGATGGGTTATGATGCTTGTGATGGAAGAATAATATTTGATGATGAAGCTGAAAAAGTAAGAATCACTCCTCCAAATGATCCACTTCTACCAAAAAAGATCTTAGCATTACAAAATCTTACAAGGAAATTGGGTGGCATTCTCTTCATGTCAAGTTATAGAAGCACTAGTGTTCATCTCCTTGGAGGATGCAATGCTGCAACAACTGCAACATTAGGCGTTTGTAATCCAAATGGGCAAGTATTTGGCCAAAATACCAACCAGTCAGCTGTTCATGAAGGTTTATATGTGTCTGATGCTTCTATAATTCCATGCTCAATTGGTACAAACCCTTGCCTTACAATCACAACTTTATCGGAGCATATCAGTTGCCGCGTACTTGATGATATTATAAAATTCAAAAGCATGGAGCATAAGAAAGAAGACATAGAAAATTCAGATGAGAATAAGGATTCAACACAAAAATCTTGGAAAGAACTTAAAGATAAATGGAATGATAAGGTCCTGGTGAAAGAAACAATGAGAGGTTTCATAGGAGGAATGCCTTGCACTGCTTATCTGACAATGAATTTGAACTGTGGAGATAAGAAAGATATTTTCCATGAGAGCTCAGTTATAGAAAATCCAAATTCTCTTCTCAAAGGAAGAGTTGGCGGTTATGTTATTTTCAAAAGTTTTAGTAAGGAGAAGCTCTTTATCTTGGATGGAACGGTGGACTTATGCGAAGTAGACAGTAGAACTCCCTACACACAGTACATGCATTATGGCTTAATTTTAGCTTCAACCTCTGGTTCAAGGTACTAACTATAGTAAAATTTATGTTAAAAACTAAATTTGACATGAAACAAATTGAACTTCAATTGATGCAGGTATTGCCTTGAAGGGAAAAAGGTGTTGAATCCATTTTTGCTTGGATCTTGTGCTTGGCGTGAATCAACAACTTTGCATGTTACTTTCAAAAAAGTTGAAAATAATGATATTACTGACCACAAACAACATAATAGTTCCACTGAAGAGTTGTTGGGTCTTCAAGGTGAGCTCAGTATATCAATCTTTGAGCTTCTGAGGAGTGTGGTTAGGTTGAAAGGAAAGCAAAAAAACAAATTTATATGCCTTCTCTTGCAAAGTCTTTGGAGGACATACATCTTGCAAGTACCTAGATTTGTAAAAGAAGATTTTGACACCCACAAAGTGAATCAAGATCCATACCCTCCATATATTCTTCACAACTTAAATACAGGTAAATTTAATACCGTTAAAATTTGAGAAGAGCGCCTTCATGTACTATCTAGTTAAATTTTTTTTTTTCCAAACTAAGCAGAAGATGGTTTTATGGTTTTACTATTAGCTGCAAGCAATGGAGGAGCAGTTCAAATGCATGGAAGCCTCAAGAGGGAAACCCCACCAAATTCCCTGTTCTTTTGTTGAATGGATACTCAGGTGAAAGTTATTGGTTGCCAACAGAAAGGAGAGATTTGGTTAGAATACTATTAGAGGAAGGATATGATACTTGGATACTTCAATCAAGATTGCATCCTCATCATCCTTCAAACAACTTCACCATTGAAGACATTGGGAAGTTTGACATTCCAGCAGGTGAGGTTTTGTTCTGGAAATCATTGCAGCAAATTATTATTATTTTTTTTCAATTTATGCAAGAATAACATTTGTCTTCTATTAATCCTATTTTACAGCAATTGCAAAAATTTCTGAGGTGCATGGTCCTTTAAGTTTGGTTCATGTGATTGCACATTGTGTCGGGGGTTTAGCGATTCATATTGCTTTAATGGGAGGTCATGTTTCTGCAAGTAAAATTGCATCTCTTTGTTGCACCAACTCCTCCATGTACTTCAAGTTAACAAACTATGCTATGGTAAAAATGAGGCTTCCTCTACTACCTGTAAGTCAAAATTTTGTACTGCTTTTCACTTTAGTAACAACTCTACAAAACTTTGCAAACATTTTTCTTGTAACAACATTACAAAGCTTGCTAGCATATGCTTCATGTCCATCTATATGTTGGAAGCAGTAAAATTTTTTATAATAGAATTATGCAAAGCTTGCTAACATGAGAGCTTAATCAGGTAACAATGGCAATTCTTGGGAGGAACAAAACATTATCAATAACAGATAGCTCAAAGGATGAGTTTAGACACACTATCTTGAAATTTGTTGCAAGAAATATTCCTCGGACTGAACGTTGTACTTCTAATGAGTGTGAGATTTTCTCTGGAATCTTTGGCAATGCATTTTGGCACAAAAACATAAGCAAAACCATGCACCAATGGCTAAGCAAGCAAAATGTGACCCATCTCCCCATGTCTGGTTTTCCCCATCTTCGAAAGATTTGCAATGTGGGCTATGTCGTTGATGCTGATGGAAAAAATAAATATTTGATTCATCCTGAAAGAATGGCTGTGCACACACTGTATATTTCTGGTGGGAGGAGCCTTTTAGTGACACCTGAGACATCTGTGTTGGCATATAAATACATGAGGATGCATCAGCCAGGATTTCAACATAAAAGGGTGATGGTGAATGGATATGGGCATTCTGATCTTCTCATAGGTGAGGAATCATATAAGAGTGTGTTTCCTCATTTTTTAAGTCATATGAAGATGGCAGAGGGTAGAGGAAGAAAGGAGAGTGAAGAGAGGGAAGAAAATTTGGTTTCTTGGGAGGCTTTTTATGACGATAATGGAGGATCATGGGTTTTTCTCTTTTTCATATTTTTTATAGCTATTTTTTATTGGTTGTGTCAATTTTTTCCTTAGGCAATGGATTGTTTTTGTTGAGATTATTTTTTTTCTTTTTAGCTGTTTTTATTTTCTTTGAGTTAATTGGTAGTCAATGATATCAAAACATTCTCCTTTTTTTCCCTAAATATAATCAATAATTTTTATTTCATTTAATAATAATTTCATTCCGGGTTTTTTGTGAAGAAAAATTTAATGAGTATATTCGTAAAGTTTCACTGATGTTATCATATGCTTTTTAAATATTATGTTTGTTGATAGAATGTTACATTAAAAGATTTAAGTAATGATGGATTGAATGACTTCTTAAGCAAGATGTGTTATATCAAGTTCTATTCATGGTTATGTTAGAAATGTAATTGCAAGACTAATAAGATTTTAATACAATTGAAAATAAATAAAAATAGAAAGAGATATTGGGAGAGCGTTGGAGAGCGAAGTTTTTGGGATTATCTAGCCGAAGTAAAATACCTAGAAAACTGTCCCTAAAAATGACCCTTTTTGCCCTCGATTTTATTAGGTTCTAAACACTATGTCAAAGCATATATATTAATATTAATCTTATAACTAAGAAAAAATGAAATGCATGACTATATATTTACAGTTGCTTAAACACTATATTAACAATATTAATGAATACACATGGACAACTCCAAGTTAAGAGATTCGAACGAGTTATTGACTAGATAAGGCTTCAAGCGCTTAAAACAAATTTCTAACATTCTAATGTTTTTTTCTTACTTTAAGTATGAGTGGTTGAATATATCTTGTTGATTAGGTAAGAGATCCTTCAACCAAGGCAAGTGAACTCCTTATTAAAATGGGGAGTGTGATCTCTTAATTATTTTAGAAATTTTTAAAAATACGTCATACTCTTCAAGTCTCTTGTGTCTTTGTAGATTGGCTTATAAAAAGGGAATTATGTTAAACGTTTATTTCTTTGATAGAATAGTAAAGGAGTAAATGATAGATTTTACCATCATGCTTAATACTTGTATTACAAATAATGCTCCATCTAACAAATATAATAATGACATTCATCTCTCAATATTCCTTAAAGAAGAATCAACATGGTTTAATACTTTAATACTTTGGGAATATAAATGAAGTTATTATGTAGTTATGATAGAAAGATGATTTAAAGTGGAATGTGAATTTTTAGCCTTTATGGTGGATGTCAATATACCATAAGAATATCATCTTTTATATATAATTAATCGTTCATCATTATTGTAAGTCACTATGTACTTTATTTGCTTCTGGTTATTCTCTCTCTCTCTCTCTCTCTCTCTCTCTCTACTCATCTATCCTAATTTATTGCTACAAGCGTTTTTGTTCCATTTATAGTTTCTTTGTTGATGAATTTTTTTAAAGCCTTCATGGAAGTTGAGTTGATCAAGCCTCCATATCAAAATGATGCATTTGTGCTATTATTTTAATGAACTTTATTGTGCATGTTTTATAATGTTTATTTTGTGAAGATAAGTTGTGTATTATTGGATTACTCAAAATTTTGCCATGCTACACCACCTATATATACAAATCATTGAAAATTTGAACTTCTGTGGACTCATTGTTTCCCAAGTGAGAGTAGAGAAGAGACAATAAAGCATCAACTTCTTAATTTGAACTTATGTGGACTCATTGTTTCCCAAGTTATATACCTTATGAGCATTATCATTATGATGCTATACATGAGAGTAGAGAAGAGACAATAAAGCATCAACTTCTTTTATGATATTTTTTTTTGTGAATTCATTCAAGGATGTTTGTTCTCAATTTTTGTCCAACCTTGTGTGGATGATTGGTGTACAAAATAAAGTGAAGGATAAAAAAAGATAAAAAGTTTGTCATTAGATTTTGGGAGAGTGCAACTCCTTTCTTTCACTCAAAGGCTTGACATTACAATTTAAGTCACATATCTCCCTATAGGACATAGAGAAGAATCTAAATGGTTATTAATATTTCAACCATTATATCTAATCCTTCTTGGTTCTTATTCTACACTTGAGGTGCTTATGTGAGTGACATATTCGAAGTGATTCTTCAATATTATTTATAATGATCTTGTTTTTTTGAAGTTTTAGGGGTGAAGGCCTTTAAGGCTTCAAATATAAGGAAGACTAAGGATTTTGATATATCACTTATGGATGAAGAAAAAGACTCGGAAGCCATAGCATTCTTATGACATTCATTATCTCTCCATGGTGTTGAGCAATCCTTTAATAAATAATTCAACATTAATCATTCTTCTTCTTGACACAATTTTATAATGATCTACCCTACTCTGCTAAGTGATGATTTTTTGTGTTCCTAATTCGTAGATGCCTTCACCTCATGTTATACTTAATTTTTTAGGTCTTCTATACTTTTTCTTTCTTTAATATTATTTACTTTAAAATTAAAAATATAATACTTAATTAAAAGGGACATAAATACAATTTTAATTATACTTATTTTTTTTATATCTATTTTATTACCAAAATAGATATGCCATTGAGTTATGTTAATTCTCTTTAGCTACTAAGCAAAAAAGAATAATTTAAACTTTGAATGTTTGAGTATGTGAATTTTACATAATACTTAAATAATGTTTCTCTCAAGTCTTACTTGGTTCTTTTTTATACCCATAGGTAATTCATCACTTTAGATAGGGTTCTTCATTTGCTAGAACATAGTCGTTGTAAGGGTAACCATCTAGAGGCAATTTGAATTGACCAATATGCTACTTATTAGTGATCATATCACAAAAGAGGTGGTCAAATTCTGAAGCTTTTCTTAATTTAGAGATATATATGATTTAATATATGATTTTTGTGTTTTATTTGAGTTAATAAGGCTATTTGTTGAACAATTTGAGATCATTCCCAAAAAAAAAAATGGCATAAGCACTTAAAGTTAAAGAGCATGTTGCAAGGTTATTGTATAAATTTATTTTATAGGAGTTGGTTTTTTTTCTTATTTTTAAGCATATCTAATATATATATCTCTCACTGAGGGGAACTAGTGATAAAATTAAAAAAAGGTGTGTTCACTAAGTATAGATTGTCCAAACTTTTTGGGACCTTAGCCTTTCTCTAGGAAATGATACCATTAGACTTTGACCAATCTTAAGAGACTTTATTTAGGGTGACTCCACTAGAAATAAATAATTGAGGGATGCATTCTTAACCTAAACAACAATAAGGGAAAACAATAGAAAGGAGGCAGTCGGGAGACATGGTCGTATCTAAGTGTAACAAGAAAAGAAAGGTCATTGTGGCACTTAGGCTCCGTTTGGGCAGCTTATCCGCTGCGGTGGCGTTTTGAAAATGCCGTCTCACCATTTGGAAACTATTTTTGAGCAGCTTATCTGAAAACACAGTTTTTTTTTACATTAAACGCGAAATGTGAGTCAAACCCTGCGGTCCGCGTTTCTAGATAAGCGAATTATCTGGATAAACACAAGCTGCCCCAAACTCACCCATCAAAAGTTAATTTTACTAGCATGAAACGAGGTCACTGAGAGGCTTAATGTGTGTTTGGGCAGTACGGTGATGGCGTGGTGCCGCACCATATTTTTTTTTATTTGACAAAATTGTGTTTTATCTGTGTTCTAAAAAAATTACAGTTAAAACTTGTGTTTTTTCACCAGACCTGACTACTTGTGGTGGCTGATAGAAAGTTGTGGTTTTACTTTAAAAAAAAAATTATAATAGTCACTACAGCTTTTTGAACAGTTGATTCTTTTTCAACAACATCACAGTTGTTTCTTCAAACAGCTGCATCTGCCCCAAACAGACTATTAGTCATAACCTAACTGATACTAAAGACAAGAATACAATTGTGGTTTTACTTAAAAAAAAAAATTGTAATAGTCACTACAACTTTTTGAACAGTTGTTTCTTCAAGCAGCTGCATCTGCCCCAAACAGACTATTAGTCATAACCTAACTGATACTAAAGGCAAGAATACAAGGAAATGAGGCCATTATAAATGTGAAGTGCATGTAAATCAAAATAGTCAAAATCGTTGAACCTAAAAGAGTATGTATGTGATATTATGGGGTTGATAAGGCTAGATAAAAGGGTTAAAAGTAAATGTAGAGAGAGAAAAAAAGAGGTGGAAGATAGATTCCATGGAGAGGAAGTTTTGAACATTCAACCAAATAATAATAATAATAATAATAATTAATTAATTAAAGAGACCTCACAAAAATAATAAAAATAATAGAAATAATACTATATAATAATAAAAATCATGAAGAAAGGTAAAAATAAAAATAATAATAAGTATTGATTAGACCAAATAATTTTAAGAAAATATCACTTTAGATCCAGCCTCTTATTATCTCCTAAATATCTAACATCTAATCCTCCATTTTATAATAGCACATTTAAAATAAGATTTTCTTAATTTTTGAAAATGTAAAATATATATTTTTGGATAAAATATTATATATTATGTATATATACAGTAATTAAGTGTTGTGTATGTAAACTTAAAAAAAAATAATAATTTTAGGGTTTGTTTTTGGTAGCTGCAGCTTATTAAAAAACATGTGTGAAGCTGCTAAAAAGTGATACGATGTTAAAAAGCTGCAGTGGCTATTAAATTTTTTTTTAAAAAAAAACTCATACCACAGCTATAAAGCTGACACCGCACCTAGCAAAAGGAGCAGGACCGGTGGGAAAACACAGATTTAACAGCAACTTTTTGAAAAAAAAAAACTATTAAAACGTAGTTTACCCAAACAGACAAAATTGCGATGCGATGTCGCCGCTCCGCCTCCCCAAACGAACACTAAGTTTTATAGTAGAAAGTATTTTACGTATAATGTTTAACTTGTTTATCTGAATCAAGCACGTCTGTCTCAGGCCTATCGACCAAAATTGTTGTATTCATTCCACCCAATAAGACGACCTACTCACTTGTGCGGGGGCAGCTATTGGAGATGACAATTATAACTTGTAAGAACACGTGTCAATCCATCATCTCTATTTTTTCATTTGGACATCAGAAATGAACGTCATACCGCACCGCCAAAAACAACATCACAGTCTTTTCATCAAGACAACGATGAAGACCGTCGTATATAATTTATTATTATATATAAGCTAAGTCAAAAAAGAACAAAAAAGTTTTTTCTTACAATCAAATCTCTATCTCCTTTTCTCTCTCTAAAATCGTATAATTAGAGAACCATTACAAACTCTCGTACATTCATCTCTCTCTTTCATAATATCTCTACGAAATAATGTCTTTATCGAATTGCATGCACTCATGAATAATACGAGACCCTACCTCACAAAAGCATTTAATATAAATAAATAAAATTTAAAATAATTAAAAAATTGGGACCTAAGATTCACTAGATCTCCACAAGCATCCCCCCACTTCCTTCTTTCAGCGTGGCCGTCTCCACCTTTTAGTACGCCCACTAATGGTGGCCCTTTCTTTTCATTTAAAAACTTTTGTCTTTTTAAAATTAATAATATTAAATAGAACTTTAAATAATGTAGGAAGATTTACATTCATACCACATAATTTATATGTATTTACATGTCTAACATTGCCTAAAATTTAATTTTTATTTATTTACCACTTTTAATATTAAAAAGGTGCATCATTTTTTGGGACTGTTTTTAAAAGTAGCTGGGGAAAAATATTACATCAAGACTCCTAACGTAGAGCTACGTTCGAATTGGACTATTCAGATGTGTTACGGGAATATTTCATCTGCGTTATTTGTAAAAAATGATGTATTATTCGAATATTATATGATGTTATTCGATTATTTTGCGATGTTATTAAAATATTTCATCGCGATATTTGATTTGGGGCTGAAGTGTTATTGAAATATTGACCCGTTTTATTTGATTTGAGGCTATGTTATATGATTTGAGACTATGTTATTCCAATAACATAGTGAAAATTGAAATATTGATTTGAGGCTATGTTATTCCAATAACATAGCGAAAATTGAAATAGCATGGGGAATATGTCGAATAACACAGACCCAAAATCAGGTAACGCGGCGGGGAAATATTTCAATAACAACGCAAATTAATCGAATAACACCATATAATACTAGAATAACACATAATTTTTTTAAATAACACAGATTGAATACTCTCGTAACAAAGCCGAATATTTCAATCCGAACATAGTTCTACGTTAAAAGTTTTGATGTAACATTTTTCCGGCAGCAAGAGTCCTTTTTTTATGTGACATGAAATTTGAATCTTATAAGTGTAAAAATTAAGTTTAGAGGTACGATGTGTAAATACAAAAGAATTGTATGGTATGAATGTAAATGCACCTTACTAAAAGTTTAGATTTTTCATGAACAAATTATGAGTATAAGATCTTGCATATGGAAGTTCGTGAATTATAATTATATATCTATGAAAGTTATGACACATGTAAATATATAAAAAATAAGGGCTATTTATGCAAATCTTAGAATATAATTTCATGCATTTAAAAAAAAAAATTGGTCCCAATATTCAATCCGACAAAAGCCACCGTCACGCAAGCTTCTTTCCAGCTTCGCCGACAAAATCAATGCGTTAGAATATAATTTCATGCTTTTAAAAAAAAAATTGGTCCCAATATTCAATCCCACAAAAGCCACCGTCACCCAAGCTTCTTTCCAGCTTCGCCGACAAAATCAATGCACCTTTCCTGTTCGACGAAATGCGTGAACCACTCAAATCACATCAACGTACCGATCATCACACTCATCAGTCTCATACCCTCCATCTTCCTCCACCTTCGATCCCTCCACCTCCAAAACCCTAATCCTGCAACCCTTTCTGATAACCTCTTTGTCCTCCGCTTCAAACCCAACGCAATCGCTCGCATTCAGCCTCTCCAGCTCCCGACAACCTTCCAGAACCGCCATCAGCTCCACCTTCGATAGAAACGATCGGCTCAGATTTAAAGATGTCAGCATCGGAAGATACGTGACGATCGCTGCTGCGTCCTCCTTCTTGATCGAAGAACAGGGGATCGTTAATTCTTTGAAATGTTTGCAGTTTCGGCTGATTGCGGACGCTAATTGAGAGAAATTTGAGGGCTTTGATTCGAACTGAAGGTGATTGAGGTTTTCCCATTTGGGAATCAGATTGGGGATCTGAGCTTCGTTCTCTGAAGTCAGTTTCGGCAGAGCCAATGTTCTCAATCTTGGGCATCTGCGTTCAGAAAAGGTGGATAAAAATGTGATTTTTGGATCATAGTACCTTCAAAATTAGGTTTTTTTATCATGTTTTCAGAGTTCATTATCATTATAATTATGATAATAATTCATAATTCAAGAAACAAATATTTTTTTCCAAATTTTGAGTTGAATCCATTACCAAACAGCCCCCAATAGATTAAATTAGAAGAAGTTGATTACAAAAACTCATCATTCTAACACAAAAGTGAAATTTAGCAGCTAATATAACTCACTCGTTGGATGCTAGAATCAGATCCTCCATCGATCCCAGTTCAGGAAGCCGGAGCTCGGCAGCCAGGCCGCCGCTCCGGCGAACGGCGAGCTTCATAAATCCGGCGAACGAGAATCGAGTAACGGAATTCTGATCTGTAAACCTCCTCGCAAATTTGCTCCATGGCATGAAATTGAGGGAGCGAAAGTTGAGGACTCTCCAGCAGAGGGGGTCGCGAGCGGCGGCGGACCACGAGCGGCAGACGAAGAGGACGGAAACGGCGAGATCGTCGAGTGCAAGCTTCGAGAAGACGGCGACGAGGCAGTCGGCCTCCATTTCCTCCCATTTTCTGCATCCGTCGGCCATGTAGGGGAAGAAGTGTGGTTGGGTTTTGGGGAGTGGAAGAAGGAGGCTGTTTGGGGCATTTGTACAAACAGATGGTGCACGTGATTTGGTGGGAAAGGGAATCAAATCGGTTAGTATTGGTTGCACCAACGTGATGACTCCCACTTTAGGGGTTTAGGTATATGTCACAAGCTTGTTATGACTCACTTCTTATGTTCATCTATAATAATGTATAAGGAAAATTTACACACAGACCCACGATTTCTATGTATTTATAAATCTAAGATTGGAAATCTATATTTATAACATTCAATTATTAAAAATTTATGCATAAAAAATATATATTTTATTTTTAAAATTTTATTGATGGTGATATTTTGATAAATATATAAACTATGCATGCTAGCAAATTCACTGTAGAGTAATGGAATATCATCTTAGCGTTACACGAGAATTCAACACACATTCAGGTGAAAGAAAATAATCAGTAACGACATCATAAATTTTTACCTGTAAAAAACAGTGAAAGGGAAAAAACCAAGAGATCTAGTCTAGTTATAAAATTCACTATATGTTGACGATTACAGAGACCTTTTGTCCAACAAAAGGGAAGGAGTTATTAGATTTTCTAAGTTATACATCGACTAACGACTTCCGGTTAGTGGTGGTCGACAGTGATTGGTGAGAATCAATAACAGTCAGCGGCAGTCGACGGACAATCAACGACAGTCGACGCCGGTCAATGGCGGTGACGACGGCGGTAGTGCTTGACAGCAGGCGGTGGTTGTTGACGGCAGTCGACAGGGGTCGACGACAATCGTCGGGTGTCAACGATAGCCGACAATGGTTGACGACAATGGGAGAATATCGACGACAATCGGTTGTGGTCTACGATGGACGACGACGTTCAATGGCGACCAGCAATGGTCGAAGTGGCCACCGGAGTTCGACGATGACAAAGATGGTGTGAGACATCAGCTCCTTCTCAAAATTTCTTGTTCTCTCTCAAGCTTCAAATTCTCATTCTCTTTTCATGAGAGGAGATGAGCTCTATTTATAGTGTTTTTGGTGCAATTAATGCAAAATATATGAATCATTTTGATCAGACGATCTTAAAAACTTTGTTGAGAAATTAGGGCGAAGAAAAACAGAAATCGACACAAATCCAGAAGAACACAGAGTTTTAACGCGGTTCGACAAATAAGCATATGTCCTCGAAAGAGCAGAGCAGCGAATTCACTATTTCAGAGGAGTCCAGTTACATACTCATAGGGTTACACATCATATATATAGATAAAAAACTCACAGATAAAATTATCAACTCACCCTCTCTCCCCCCAACCCACTAAATTCTAAGAGACACTCATCTTCGTTCCAAGAGACACGCCTTTTTAATTCCAAGAGACTTTAAATTTTGGTATACGAGCCATACCTAACAAATCTCCACATTGGCGAATATCCAACCTCTTACGAGAAATACACATACATAACAAACTTCATTCGATCAAACAACATTTGATGGGCCTTTGAGTGTTTTAATGATGTCATAATTGGGTGATTTTGAGCTCGTTGGATTCGTCCTGTCGAGACGCTCAATTCAACTATGAACTCGTCGGATTTGAGATATGACTTACCTTTTCAGCGTGTTTAGAAATTTTCCAATAGTGGTTTAATAACTTGGTTTAAGCTGAAATTGGAGTTATGGATCAAAAAACTGCATTGAGATTCATGTCAGATGATGGAGATTTGAGGGGATATAATAATAACTATATAAAAGTATGTGTCATATACTTATAAATGTAAATGCCCAAATATATAGAAGTATCATTAGCATCGATTAATTGAAAACAAAATACAACATATTTCATTATGATTTAGACAATAAAATATTATAAAACAATGTATAATTTAAATATTTATTATATAAAAATGTGAAATGTTTGTGGTATATATGTGAATATCTCTATTGTTCTTTTTTATTATTATTTTTTTTATTTTTTTTTATTTTTATTTTATTTTATGGTTAGAGATGGCCCCGTACAATTTAAAATATTATATTTGCAAAGAAAACATATTGGCTATAGACGTGGGAAGTTATCGACGGGTTTCCAATATGTGTTATGTGTTACAATCATATTTGAGATATGACGTTAGCAACCACGGGTCATCGATGGCGGTTAGTAGAGGCGGCCAACAGACCTCGACGATGGTCAGTTGCTTTGGAGGCCCAGTGTTATCATCAATCTCCAATACAATATACTACAGCCGTATTTGAGATACGATTTTTGCAAAGAAGGGTCATTGACGACGGGCCAGCGTTGGTCGACGGCGGGAGATAGGCGATGGTGGTGGTTGTGGAGACAGGAAGTTATCGCCGTATTTTCAATCTAGAACATGCTCTTGAATTCATTCTCTTCTCCCCTTATCCCATATTGTTATTCCTTAATCATAATAGATTTTTGAATGATTTAAATGCATTAATGATCTCATAATTGAGTTAGCTTAGGCTCGCTAAAATCCTCTAATCTTCTAACTTAATATATTAATTATGATAAATTAGTCGTAAATAATCTGATTAGAAAAAGTGATTATAAGTTTTATATAATTTGAGATAAATTTTAAAATCTGTAAATTTCGAACTTTCTAAAATTGGTGAGATTTTTAAGCGACGTGGCTTTTCTCTAACTAAAGTTAATTAGGCGCGACAAAGATGAACTGCTCAACTGCTGTCAAATGTTCCAAATAAATCATATTTATACATACATATATATATATATATATATATATATATGCATAAAATTATAATGAATTTAAGATTTATTTTCTGATTTTTTTAATATATTTTGAAATTTGTTGACTTCGGGCGAATTTCAAAGGTATTGTTTTGTATAAATTGTCGTGCAGTGCCGCTTCTGCTCACCAACCATCGTCGTCTGCCCCACACTCACGGCCATTGCAGTCTCAATCGCCGCCAACCGTGCAACCACCCTTTGCTAATGTTAGGCTATGAGCTCAACGGTTTTGTGACATTTACAATTTAGTTAATTTTAAGGCATTAATGTGAAAATGTTATTAGTTACGAGTCAGTAAATGACTTACATTTTAGAGAAAATATTATGTCCAATAAATCAGACGTTTAGTTGATGGCGTGGATCGTAACACTCTGTCAGATATAGGGCGTGGTGCGATTCAAACCTCTGGTGAGTCATGAGTTAATGATAAGGGATTAAAAGCATATTAAAGCTCATGGGATCTTTAAGGGTCTGGGTGTAGTATACAAGTGCTTTAGTTATGTCATTATAACGGCTGAGAATTTTGTTTCTATTTTTTTCATGATGGGGTTGTTTATGCAAATATTAAACAAATTATGTTTGTGAACTAAGTCAAAATGATGATTTAGAGAATAATATTGATAAATTTGTGTGTCAAACACAAGAGATGCATTCTCAGACACTCTAATCTTAAATATCTATGTAAACTTATAAAAATATGTCGACACAAATTTCAAGACAAATAAACGACTCAAAAGGTCAATACTGACGATTGGGCATAGTTGTTGACAACAGTCTTGAATTGGATGCTAGCAAGGGAGACGTATTGTCTGAACGATCGACAGTACGTGCCAGTAGATGTTTCTCAGGATGAAGTTCAGTCCTCAAGACAATCGACAGGAGGCTCTCTTTAGAATTAGATATCGATCGAGTTAAGGTTTACTAGACAATTAAAACCTCTCATCGATCGAATTAGTCACCGATCTTATTATATAAGAATAATTTTGTAGTTACCAAAGAGTATCTGAAAAATTAATAATCATGATACTAATATGTACTTTTGTAATGCTATGACATATGTCTATAAATCGGGATTCATTTCATGAATAAAAAACACTCTCTTTTACAGTCCCCACTGCTCTCTCGTTCTTTTTCTTTCTTTCACGCATTACTTCCTAGTAGGAAGTTCTATTCATTGGGTGTGTTTTTCGGACACTTTTAGATTCAACATCCGTTAAGAGCGATAAGCATAAAAACATGTCGTCAAGAAGAAGAGGAGCTCGTCAACAATAAGCATGAGAGTCCAATTAAGAGAAAGTAGGAATGCATGAGTTTATGAAAGAATACATTAAACAAAGTCTGCAAATACGACAATGATTATTTTATAATTCATATTGGACTCCTTTATAATTCAAACTTTATATTTTATCCATCTTCACATCCACCAATGTCAGTATTCGGTAATCACTAAACAGCGTGGGACCCATAACATGTATGGCGGGTGTAGAACGGGGTGTGAATATTATGCCTGACAGAAGCCAAGGGAAAAGACAAGAAGGGAGCTTCCTCCGCCTCTCCGCCTCTCCGCCTCTCCGCCTCTCCGCCTCTCCGCCGTCCATTCCTTTTTTTCCGGAGGAATATCGACGGCCACCGGCCTCTAAAGGCCCTCTTCCCCGCCTGGCCTCTAAAGGCCGTCTGCCCAGCCTCACAGCAGCCGCCGGCGAATTTCGAAGCTCAGGTGAAGTAAGAAAAAGGTAATGAGTCCCTATTCTTCTTCGTTCTCGGTGTAGCTGTTATTGAGATTGGTGTCAGCTGAAATAGAAATTAGGGTTTTTATTTTCCTGTTGTTTTCAGGTTATTATAGATGCGATGTCTGTTCTTCCGATGAATTCTTTGTATGATTGCTCGATCTTAGTGGCTTTATATCTCTATGACATTTTTATCTCATAACATTAAACCTAACTTAATTATTCTGGGATGTTTCTAAATAAAATGCATCATTGAATTGTCTACTTAAAATAGTGTTTTTTTTTCCTTTTTTTTTGCTCAGAGATCACTTGGTATTTGGCGAGAGAACAAAATGCATGATCATAAGAGGTCTGGGGAGAATATTTTGGACAACATAATAGAAACCATTGCTGATGCTGTGCCAAAGCAGAAGTCTGGCGGATTCTTCAATGAGGGCTCTTCGGTCTCCGATAAGTTAAATAGCAAGCTAAACAAGCAATTTGGGCGCCAGAAGTCCGTTCATCATATTTTGGGTGGCGGAAAATGTATTGTTTGTGAAAGCTTTCTGTTCTTCTTTATGAAAGAAGTCTGACCTTCCTATTCAATTTGGAGTGTAAAAGAGATGTTTTTGGTGTTCGATATATTTTATTTTAGGGACGTTTACATACATACCAACCAATTACCACAAATTTGTGTATTTAACACCAAAAATGTTGCTTTTTGCATTTATAACACCCAAATCCTTCTTATCACATAAAAAATGACACTATTCTAACTTTTAAAGAGTGAAATACACCTTTTTCATTCATAGCTACGGTCTGGTATGTATGTAATAATTGGAGTTTAGGTAGGAATTGAGTGGTTCATATATGTAAATCTTCCTTTATTTTAAATTTGTTGTGTGCTGTTTGCAGCTGCTGATTTGTTTTTGTGGAGAGATAAGAAGATATCTTCTAGCGTCTTGGTTGGCGCAACACTTGTATGGGTTTTCTTTGAATGGCTTGATTACCATTTTCTCACTATTATATGCTTCGCTCTTGTTATTGGAATGGTTGTTCAGTTTGTTTGGTCTAATGCATCCGGCATAATTAATCGGTGAGTTTGTTTAATTTGAATGTAGACTTTGACCTGTTTGTTTGAGATCAATTTTGTTTTTTTTTCTTTTGTTTTTAAAAAAAACAATCTTACTTTAATCAAATAGCCAAACATATTTAGTTTCAAATCAAAACATAAACAAAACAAAATAAAAACAAAAGGTCGAAAATAAAAATTCAAAGGTGATCCGAAACGACCCCTAAGAGTTTCTAATTTCTTATATTTGCAGGTCTGCATCCGAAGTTCCTCGGCTTGTCTTGCCAAATGAGTATTTTGTGAATGCTGCTGTTTCTGTAGGTGCACAAGTCAACATGTTCTTAGCATTCATTCAGGATGTTGCATGCGGAAGAGACATAAAGATGTTTGCAATGGCATGTGATTTTTATCAACTTTATTTTTATTATATGTTATTATATATATAAACATTTCTTTTGAATAATTTTTTATTTTCAGCTTCAATATTGAGTGGAATTCTATAATTGGCTTTTAGTTTTGAGTTAAAGATGTAATTGGTAGAAACACAAAGCTTTAATTGCTAAGGGATGTAACACAAATATTACTAAAGGATGTTTTATTTTTTTCTTTTTTATATGGGTGAAGCTAAGAACCTTATTTATAACTATGAAAACTGAAAGCAAACAATTTATGCTTCACTTTCAAGTGACATTTACAAACATACCGCGTAATTCTTATGTATTGACATATCTAACACTTAAATTTTACTTTATACATTTATACCAACCAAATCTTTCATATCACAACAAAAATACCACTACTTTTAACTTTAAAAACTGAAGTTTAGGTGTTAGATATCTAAATACATAGGAATTAAGTGTTTTGTATGTAAATCTTCCTACTTTCAAATGAATACATGAACAAGAACATGCCGACAGACAGACACGTTATGTTTTATGACATCTCTTTATAGATTAAATTGCCTGTTCTGTAGTATTATTCTGACAGTTATGAAGTCAGTGGAGAGAATTCTTTAACTGAATTCGTGTTTAGAGTAAGTTTTTGTATTTCTACTCCACTTTCAAAAAATTATGATGCAAATGATACTTTGAAATTACCTATATTTATGCTTTTGTTCTATAGAAGACCAAAATTTCAACATTCAGTTTGAAGATATCCTGCTTTGTTTTCTTTGGCTTTCTAAAATAGACTTCCCTCTTGTAAAATTTCTCAGAGTCTTAATCGGACCCCTCGGTTATGCCATACTCGATATGATGCATTTTGTATTTTGTTAATTTTCAGACATGAACAACTTAAGTTAATGTGCAGGTTGTCCTTGGCTTGTGGGCAGCTGCTGTCATTGGAAGCTGGTGCAACTTTCTTACCGTCCTTTACATTGGTGAGTAAGCTTGTGTTGTCTGCACCCACATATTGAACTTTTGTAACTTCCTGTTTGGCTTGCTCTGTTAATCTTAAGCTCACATTCCACAAGAAAAATTTAAAAATAGGCTGTGAAAGTTGAACTTATTTACTTAATCTTTAATATTATTTTGATGCTCGTATAGTTTCATAGTCACTCTTAAGTCTATCTTTTGTGGATAATCTTTTAATTGATGAAAAATCAAAATGCTCCATTGCTTGTTTTAAACTATGATAAAGCATATGATAATATTTACTATAAAATTTTCAAGGAGAAGTGTTTTGAATTAGCCATCCATTTTAAAATTTATTACATTATTTTTTTACTTCATGTTTTTTGTTTTAACTTCAAAGGATTGTTCGCTAACAAAATTATAAAGAGTCGTCTTAGATTGTTTGGTCGCATTAAATCTCGACCATCTGATAGCCCTGTTAGAAGTGTAGATACTTTTAGATTTGGCTTATGTTAAGAAAGATAAAGATAGACCTAAAAAGATTTGGGCATGTTGTATAAAAAAAGATCTTAATTTATTAGAATTAAATGAAAACATGCACTCAATAGAACATAATGGAGAAAAAAGATTCATCTAGCCGGCCCTAATTTGTGGGATAAAGGCTTGTTGTTGTTAAGGGATGTTTGAAATTTTTTCATCATCTTAATTATAAGCATAGCCTTGCACTAGTTGTTTCAGGTCAAATTATGAATTATCTTTCTCCATCCATTATTTTTGGTCTTATTGCGGTGCCAATTATGAATTAAACATCCTTTTATAGAACTTATTGTCCTATTGCAATTGATATTCTAGTTTTTCCTATTTATTCATTATTTATATTGACACCTTGCCCTTAACCCGCATTTGTGAGAAGTTCCAGCACACTGTGTCACGTCCGGCAATTCAGAGCCTAGAAGGAATCACAAAAACCTATTAGTCGGGTGCGGACTAAAAATTATGAAATAATTCCAAGAGAAAATATATAAATTCTCAGTAATATTTGTTTACCAAGAAGATCATTACCTCATTTAAATTCAATAACATGTACTAATTTTTTCATTGAAATATAAATATAATTTAAATAAATAAGTCAATGTTGGTTAATATAAATATAAATATAATAACTTTTCTAATAACTTCTAATAAACAAGTCAATGTTGAAATAAACTCTTTAAGAATATGCTTGAAGCATGAATCTATGAATTATCTCTGGATGTTGCTTAACTAATAATTTGTGTGTTGGGTAATGTGGAAATCCAATTTACCGAAATTTAATTAGCTTCCTAATTAAAAATCCCACCTACCGCTCACCCACCACCTCCCACCTCCCACCACCTCCCACCTCCCACCTCCCACCTCCCACCTACCATCTACCGCTTACCTACCTCTCACCTATCGCTCTCATGGTTTCTATAAATAGTCTCTTTTGTTTAAAGGAGAAACCAAGCCAAGCCAAGCAAGGTTAAGCCAAGTCCTCTAGAGCTAAAAGAAAGAGAGAAAGAGAGAGAGAGAGGAAGGGAGAGAATAAAATAGAGATTTTCTTGTAAACGTTGAGGCGCTCGGCGGTGTAATTCCTCGAAGAAATAAAATCCTCTGCAGCTCCATGAACACAGACAAATTTGCTGAACCACGTAAATTTGCGTGTCGCTCTGGTGTTTTTCTGCGTGCAAGTTTACTCATTCCATTTTTTATTTTATTGTCGTCGTTTTTCACAACAATTGGTATCAGAGCTTTGATTTGAATATAAGGAAGAATGATGCACAGAGGTAAAGTGATGACATCGGAGATCGAGAAGTTCAATGACATCGATTTTTGCTTACTGGATGATGCAGATAGATGACTACTTCTATGGAAAAAAACTTCATCTTCCGTTACTGGTAAAGCGACCAGAAAAGATGGACGAGGCGGAATGGAGTCTGTTGGATCGACTGGTTATAGGGGTTATACGATTAACCCTGTCGAGATCGGTTGCCCACAACGTCATCAAGGAAAGGACTACTGCAGATTTCATGGTGGCTTTATCAGGTATGTATGAAAAAGCATCGGCGAATAACAATGTGCATCTGATGAAAAAGTTATTCAACTTTAAGATGCGAAATGTGTGTATGTTGCTCTACACCTGAATGATTTCAATACTATCACAAATCAATTATCGTCTGTTGAAATTGATTTTGATGATGAGATACGCGCGCTGATATTGTTGGTTTAATTGCCAAATAGCTGGGAAGCCATAAATATGACAGTTAGCAGTTCAACATGTAAATCTAAGCTGAAATATGATGATATTCGTGATTTGATTTTGGCTAAAGAGGTGTGCAAGAAAGATTCTGGCGAGGCCTCGTGTTCAAGTTCGGCGCTGAATGTTGATTCTAGAGGGAGATTACATGACAATAACTCAAACAGAGGAAGATCAAAATCAAAGTCTAGTCAGCAGACAAACTACTGGAATTGTGGCAAGACTGACCACATAAAAATGAACTGCAGGAATCCTAAGAAGAAGGAGAATGATAACGCTAATGTTGTAACTGAAGAAATACAAGATGCACTATTTATGGCAGTTCACAGTTCTGTTGATGATTAAATACTGGATTCAGGGATTCCTTTCATACATTTTACCGTCAGGAGTTAATGCGAAATTATGTTGCAAGTAACTTTGGGAAGATATATCTGGCTGATGGAAAAGCTCTGAACGTGGTGGGGATGTGAGACGTTGATATTGCATTCCCTGACAAGAGCAAATGAACTTTGCAAAAGGTCAGACACGTTCATGAGTTGAAGAAAAACCTCATCTTTGATGGGCAGCTCAATGAGGGTGGTAATTCGGTAGTGTTATCAGATAACACCTGGAATGTTACCAAAAGAGTATTAGTATTGGCTCGGGGTAAGAAAACTGACATACTATATATGACTACATGTTTACTCAGGCGTGGACACATGAGTCAGAGGTGCATTATGAGGAAACTGAAGAATGTCAGTTTCCTGAAAAATTGTAGAGCGGCAAAGACAGGAAAATCGGACCGTGTACAGACCAATTGTGGAAAAGTACAAAGTTATGTAGAAATTTTGCAAGATGAGAATTCGAGCAAGTGAGAGCTGACCAAGAAGAAGGAAACAGATTCCCTGCCAGAGAATCAGACTTGGGAGCTGATAGAACTTCCACCAAAGAAGAAGGCATTGCACAAAAAGTGGATGTACCGGGTGAATATTGCTCTTGGTGACAGTAAAAGGTACAAGGCTGAACTTGTTGAAAAGGGCTTTCAACAAGGGTAGGATATTGTTAATGCAGTGAGAGTTGTAAGAAGATATATGAATAACCCAGGAAAGAGCTTGGTGGTACAATACTGCGTTGACGGTGATATGTCAACTGAGGGTGTTATTCATGAGAAGCTGAAGTTATGCTGAACTTCAGCTGGTCTTCTGACATAAAAACAGGGGCTTCGAGTTGTAGAAGTGGAGGATATCATGTTTGAAGAAAAGGTCGGTACAATTAGTAGATGATGCAGTCAAAATGTGATGCAGTCAGTGTCCTAGTCTCCAAGTGGGAGAATTGTTGGGTAATGTGGAGACCCGGTTCACCGAAATTTAATTAGCTTCTTAATTAAAAATCTCACCAATCGCTCACCAATTTTCCCACATATCGCCCACCTACCACATCTTACTTACCGCCCACTTTCCTCCAACATACCTCTCTCATGGTTTTTTATAAATAGTCTCCTTTGGCTTAAAGGAGAAGCCAAGCAAAGCAAGGTCAAACTAAGTCCTCTTGAGAGCTAAGAGAAAGAGAGGAAGAGAGAGAGAGAGGAAGGGAGAGAAGAAAATAGAGATTTTCTTGTACACGTCGAGGCGTTCGACGGTGTAATTCCTCGAAGAAATAAAATCCTCTGCAGCTCCGTGGACGTAAACAAATTTGCTGAACCACGTAAATTTGTGTGTCGTTCTAGTATTTTTCTGCGTGCAATTTTACTCGTTCCATTTTTTGCTTTATTGCCGTCTTTCACAACATTGTGTAATATGAAGAGAGGCATGAGTAAAAGGGGATGTTGTACTGTAACAGTTATAGATATTAGAGAGATTTTCAAAGATAAGAATGATTTAATAATGCTTATTGTACAACAAAATAAAGAAAGAATTTTCTATACCAATCAATGGTCACCGTGTCCAATTTTGAAATGAATATATATATATATATATACATGTATATGTATATATATACATGTATATGTATATATGTATATGCATATACATGTATATCTACATGTATATATAGTGCGGGATCGTGTGGTTTGACACATGAGCCTGGTTGGAGACTCGTATCATAGTCTCCGGCCGATCTTTTTAATGCGCGCGCGCGCGCGCACACACACAGATATATATATATATATATATGCATTGAGTAAAGTGTAAATAATAAGGCATGTAGCATAAATAAGAGCGATATTAAAAGAGGCATGAATAAAAGGGTTATCACTCTGTGCAGCAGTCAGCCCATGTAGCCAATATATCCAAGGTTTTGGTGACATTACATGCATCATGTACACAAGCATACATTACGTAAAATTATATTACATTTAAGATTCTCCAACGAAGACTGTCATTATTATGATAAAAACCTGTAACACATCAACATATTTCATGATTGTATGAATAGTAGGTATTTTTTAACAGTTAATGTGATTTACATAAATATTCAGAAATTTGTATAGCAAGTAAAATCAGAAAGCTAACTATCACATCATATCAATATGAAGATATGAAATTGTCTTAGTAAATTGAGAAATTTTTTTTATATATTAGCAACAATTGAAGCATATAAGCAAATCTTAAGGAATACATCCTTAATTAGGAACAATACAATTATCCTTTAATCAATAAAAATCACTTGCCGATTAGAGATCATGGCATCGATTATCCTTGATCCAATGCATGGTGTTCCACAAACTCTAGGTTCAAAATAATTTAAATCAACTTTACATCAAAGGCATTGCACATAAAACCATTAAAATTTT